GTTTCAGTCATAGTCATATCGGGAAGGATATGTGATGAAGTGGCGGTGAGGTAACGTGCTTCTTGATGCACCATTCAATGCGTTAAAATAAGTAGAGTGAAGGAGTGATAACGTTCGCTGATAGCACCTTTCAAGGTTAAAGAGGGATGTAGCACGCTGCAGGATCACCTAAGGGCTGTGCCTACCTAATTGTTTGCTCCAGGGAAAGGCAGCAATGTGTTAGAAACTTGTTAAATGCGCTGAGCTGTCATTACTTGCGTTGAGGTGATCGAATGCGTGCGTTGCGATAAGCCACGCCCCGCTCACCTGCGCTACCGAGCCACTCGAGTGTTTTGAATCTTTTCTCCACCAATATTGCTTAGATTCGGTTCAAAATTCAGAAGAATAATAATTGACATGCAATAGTCTATACATATATGAATATGTTTACATTCAGTTTAGTTGGGAATTCCCCAATCCAAAACGCTACTTGCGGCTCTGTAACGGCCTTGTAAGCTAGCAGCCGTGGCTTAATACAGCATCGATCAGCGCATCCCAGCTGGATAGCTCAGCGCAATTAATGGCAACGCAGCGCGTAGAGCCTTCAGGATATGCTATAGAAAATTGTGGTGAGCCTTTGCTCCCTGTCTCCCACTTTTACATAGACAAGTGATACTGCTTTATGAAAGGTAACTCTATTCATGCGAATTACGAATGATTTGCTAACATGGATACTTATCGCTGCTAAATAAGCAACAAAATTAGAACGTTATTCGGAGTGTGTGTGTGCTTTCAACCCAACGAACAAAACAAAAGAGTTCAAAAGCTGATTTCAAAGACATTATCCATATGTTGTTCTCCGAGCAATTCTGCGTTTACACGTTCTCATATAGTCAAGAGGTGAATGACGTTCGATTAGTCATAGTCGAGAAATTCATATTTTTTGGGCAAGCAAGTGTTCGCAAGTCTGAGCTTTAAAGGTACCGTAACAATCGACAGTTAAGATGTTATAGCGCTCAACAGTAAGTATCTGTTGAGGTGCGGAATTGCGAGCAATTGCGTTTGGCCGGAATTCGGCTGTTACACCTCCAGCACTCGCTACAACCCGCTGTACTTCTAAATTCATTATAACATAAAGAAAGAAAGCATTGCAACAGAGTCGATTACAGCTAAACTCTGTAATTGACTGCGGAGCCGCATTCTTGATTGGCCGATCGCTATCGCACCTTTGAGTGTTGTGAGGATCGACCATTATGAAATATGGTCCCCTAAACTATACCTTGATTTTATATGCGTGCAAGATTTCGGCTTCAAATCGATTATAATGAAAAAATTTGTAGAGGAAAAAAAAACATTTTGCTACGATGGTTAGCTGATAAGGCAATTCATTAGTGTGAAGGGAAAATAAAGAAGGAATTTTATGATTGACTCTTCATGTATATGTTATAATAATAATGACGTTAACTGTAACCCAGTAAAGATAACCTTTATCTTGCACTAGTTCATTGAGCACGTAATTTATGCTGCTATTCCAATAATTGTTTGAAGTACTTACAAATGCAGAAGATTGTAGATATAACTCTTTCCATCTGATGTTTTGAGCATATAAGCTTGGTTAAGGTGGGTGGTCCAATCTTTATTTATTTATTTGTAAGAGTCATATTTTCAGTGAAACCAGATACGGAGGAAGCGGAGGCCGTGGAGGTTACAGTGGCGGTGGGCGTGGAGGAGGCGGCAGTCGAGGCGGAAGCAGTGGCCGAGGCGGTGGGTATGAAAGTCGCGGAGGTTACGAAAGCCGAGGCGGTTAGTATCAGTATCAATTTCTTACGCTACTTACAACTATGATAGTTAGAAGCGTGACAAATAGATAGTGCTTACAATCTCGTGCATAGTAATAGCCATGTCTAAGGCATTAGTGGAGTTGTAGGCTGTTTTTAGGTAGTGGTGGGTATGGTGGTGGCGGATATGGAGGAAGTCGTGGTGGCGGAGGAGGAAGAGGAGGAGGTGGTGGTGGAGGGGCCAGCAATCCTGGTGGCCGACTCCGCGACATCGATTGGAGCAAAGAGAATCTGAAGCCAATACAAAAAGACTTCTACCATGAAAATGCATCAGTAACTCGTAGGGATCAGTATTTGATCGACCAGTGGATCTCAGAGAATCAAGTCACTTTGGATGGTCGCGGCATTCCAAGACCCATCTTCGAGTTCAACGAAGCATCTTTCCCAAATGAGCTTATTGATTTGCTTTATGCAAAATTCCAAAAGCCCACTGTGATACAATCAATTTCGTGGCCGATTGCAATGAGTGGTCGAGACATCATCTCAATCGCTAAAACTGGATCAGGGAAAACACTGGCGGTAGGTTTTCGACACGTCCTCTACGAATTTAGCAATCCTAAAGGCTCTTGATTTAGTTCATGCTGCCTGGAATTGTACATACCACTAAGCAACAACCTAGAGGACGATATGATGGTCCTTCAGTACTGGTACTTCTACCTACTAGGGAATTGGCACAACAAGTGCAGGAGGTATCATTTTGATGGCTTGCACATATGCCAGTATATTAACAACTAAGGTATTAGGTCTCTATCGATTTCTGTAATCACCTTGGCCTGAAAATGGCATGTTTGTTTGGTGGAGCATCGAAGGGACCGCAAGCTCGTGACCTCGAACGAGGTGTAGACATCGTAGTTGCCACACC